AACTTTTTTATCAGATTATCACCAAAATTGTTTACTATATATTTTTGATATATTTCAATATAAAAAGACGCTTCAAGTTCATCATACAAATGCGGCTTTATTATGAATTGTTTGATTTCTTTAATGATCCGTGGTATTCTTTCATAGTGTTTATTAAAAATTCTTCTGCTTTTTGTATATTGAAAAATTTGATCAAAAACTGGTGGAAAATCCGAATGAGTAATTGTTACACCATTTGACGTGTTATTTTGATCTGAAAATGTATTGCAATTTTGAGGAATAAATATCTTAACGTGGTCACACGTGGCACTTTCAATTTGAAAAGAAGATATTAACGGAAATACAAATTCACAATTTGAACAATTTGAAAAAATCAATTTGTCGACTTTTTCAATTCGTCTAAATTCGACTTTTTCGTTTTTCAAGTTTTCAACGTGAAAAACTTTGGAAGGCAAACAAATGCACTTTTCATCGCCAATTTTATACGCCGAAAAGTCTAAAACGACTTTTCCAATTTGGAAATTTAGACATAAACACGTCGAATTTTTCAACTGCATTTCTCTGACGTAAATTTGAGAAGCTTTGACATAATCATCTTTAGAGTATTTAATTTGAAACAAAACGTCCGAATTGACAATCCCAACTTTTTGGACAACATCTTCTGTAAGTTTAAGTGAGATATTTTCGCTATTTTGGATAACAATTGTGTTCACTTTAATAACTCCAAAATTAGACGAGTGACGATTGTGATTAGATTTGGGTGTCTTTTGAAATGAACAATTGTTTATTTCTAAATGAGACAAACTCAAATCAACGGGTTCAAACGTACAACATTTCAAATTTTCTATTTTAAGTGTTTTGAGAACTCCATAACAAAAATAGAGTTGACAATCTCTTGCATTTTTTATATTAACATTATCACTCGAAAGTACTTTTGTCATAATTTGTTTCGAAAAGTCGATTTCTAAACATTCTTCAGCAACAATGAATTTGTATCTGATTTTTTGTTTTTCAATTGTTGTGGAATGTTTATCTTGTTACTCTCAATTTCTTGATACATTTCAATTTGTGTAAATATTCCAGTGATTAAAATGTCACTAGAATTTCTGACGGTTACATTTTTAATTTTATTGTCGCCAGTTTCAATTGAAAATTGTGTGCAAGACAATATTTGCACAGTTTCACAATTCAATGTTTCTCTCAGCTTATAATCGTGAATGTTTAAAAATGTAAACGTTTTGACTTTGTTTGTATACGTAAAACTTTTAAAATCGAAAGTTTTTGCCACCACAAAGTTTTCAATTTGTGTTTGATCCAAAAATACTGAAGAAGATTTTGTTGTCACGAATTCTCCAATGTTTTGTGCATCAACAAAAACAATGTTATCGGAGTTATATAAAAATACAATTTTAATTACTTCACAGAACACTTTGATATTATTGCAATATCTAAAAACAAGGGAAAGGGGTATCGAATTTTTGTTTTTGATTTTAACACTGTTATTACTCAAATCATGAAGACACATTTCTCTTCCTGTTTCGTTATAAAACACAAACAAATTGTTTTCCAAATCTCGCAAGCACATATTTGAAATTGTTTTTTCTGTAATATTAAAAATAGAATCTGCACAGTGAATTATAGTGAGTTTTTCAAGTTTGGTTAAAACAGGAAGTGTAAAGTGACGGACATCACTTAAAAACAATTCTGTGATATTCACGAATGGAAATGACAAATTGTTTTTATATAAAACACATTCAAATTTATTTTTGTCATTTTCTTCATTTTCATTAATTCCAAATTTGTTACAATTATTTACTGTTATACATTCTGAATTTTCCATTGAAAGGTAGTCAACACTTACTATTGCATTTTCAGAAATGCATTTTGTATTATAAAGAAGAACGTTTTTTGCTTTTAGTTTATTACTCAAAACAACTTTACTGTTTTCTATATTTAAAATTTCAACACTTTCCAACTCGCCCAATTTTGTGACATTTTTATTATTATCTCCATTATCACTGCGATATGTTGTTATTGTTAACTTATATACACAATAGTTCTTTACAAATTCTTCAATCTTTTCAAGATCTTTAAGTTTCGCATTATACGTGTTGTCCACTATAATTGTCACACTAAAAAAAGAAGGAATGAGAAATTCTACTTTTTCAAGTGAAATTTTTTCTCCAAAGAAAAAAACGTTTTTAAAAGTTCTGAAAATTTCAAAGTCCCTGTCAAACATCACAACAAATTTGCAGTCAAATTTTTTTGCAATGTTTTCCAAATAAATAAAATCTTTTTCTTCAAGTGGCTGCGAGTCAATCAGATAGAAGAACTTCGGGTAATACTTTTTGTCGACTTTTTGGAGGATGAAATTTTCAGTAAAACATTTCATGTAGAAATAGACGCATCGGACTGATACAACATGTTCCATGTATTCACAGAGATTGTGAACTCCTTCTTCAACAGACGATGTCACAGATGTTTTGTATAATTCAGCAAACTCGTCTGACCCAATACTTTCTAATTTAGAAATTATACTCTTCGGTGTACTTTGTTGAGACGATTGGTATCGACGAATGCGTTTTGGAAGTGCAAGTAATTGTAATGGGACATCGAGATAATTGAGGTCTACGGTGTCTACTGTAAAGTTCTTTAAAAACCATTGGAGATCATATAATTCATTAAAAGCGGGATTGACGTGTAAAGAATTGACTGTCAATTGACACTTCTTGTTTATTAAAATAAAGTTAAAAAGTGTGTCAGCTGTTTTAAGGTATAATGTGACGTTCATTAGAAAAACCATTTGGAGCTGTTTAGTCATTTTAAATTTCTGAGTTTAGTTATAGTTTATTTCAAAAACTCAAATATATTTAGTATTAATATTTTATTAATATAATAAAAAAAGAATTTAATATAAATTTTTTTATTAATTAATAATTATAATAATTAATTATATTTATTATAACTATAGTTGTTTGTGTTTTTTTTTTTATTATTTTTATTAAAAAGGGTTTTTATTTTTATTAACCAAATAAAAAGAATTACAGTCATGCGAAA